GGACGAATGGTGGAGATGGGAATGGATACCGCTCACGCAGTTATCTTCCGCAGTAAGTTTAAGAAAAATCATGTATATGTCTCTATGATTCAAAGGTTTCAAGTATGTATGTTTAAAAAGTATATGTACATATGTATGTTAAGAAAATCGAGGTTGTAGCTAACAACCCTAGTTTTGAGTATTTAAGTTTTAGAACGTTGCAACAGTGCATGCAACAAATAAACGAATTTTAAACATGACGATTTAAATGATTGATTTTAAAAGGACTTTAAGATGTACTTGAATTTAAGATTTCTCACGAAATCCGTTTTAAAGTCAAATTAAATGGCCCAATTGAATTGGCTAGTTTTAGAAAGGCTTTTAAAGAGTATTTGAAACAAGAGTTCAAACACAGCTCCATTTGAAAAATATTTCTAGAAGGTTTTATCTTAATTGAAATTAAGAAAAGCTTTAAGAAATTCAGTGATTTATTCTTTTGAAATTATTGTTATGAATTATGAAAGTATTCATTCTTATGTTTAAAAGAAAAAAAAATGTTCCGCAAATTTTAAGAAATGCCAGTAAGTACAAGTTAAAGTTTAAGTTACAGTGGCGACCTCATAGGAGGGTCGTCACACCCACTAAACCAGAAAATGCTCCAGTTGATAATGCTTCAGTGCACAACGAGGAAGTTAGAAAACGCAGCAAGGGAAAAAGACTGTGAACTTCTCCTGCATGGCAGCATTTCACAGAGTAGCCCCGAACAAATATAAAAACAGGTGAAATAGAAATTCATGCGATATGTAAGTATTGTAAAAAATACTTTTTAAATAAAAAAGGTGGGTGTACTGGTCATCTGGATAGATATTGGAAAGTATGACTACCGTTGCATCAAGGTGGGAGTGTAGACTCCTGCCATCACACACTATCACTCACATCACAGGGGTTGCAAAATTTTACATACGATGCACAATGTGCTCGTGAGGCACTAACTAAATTTTTAGCTAGTGCCGAATTGTCTCTTTCTTTTGCAGATGATGCGTCGTTCTAAGAATTCATATAGATGATATTCTGCCCACAATTTAAATGGGTAAGTAGAAACACGACTCATTTTGATTGCATGAAAGTGTTTTATGCAATGAGACAATCTCTTGTTGATAATTTTAGGACTTTTAATGCTATTGTATCTTGTACTTCTAATCTATGGGAGGGGTGCAATAAAACTAGATATTTATGCGTCACGGCACATTATATTGATGACGAATGAGTTTTACAAAAAAGAATAATAGGTTTTCATTTATGTCCATATCATCATTACGCATCATCTATTTTTAGTACAATAATGAAAATTTTTGGGTTTGATGGGATAAAAGAAAAAGTTCAGGTAGGAATTGAACATATTTTAGCTAATCTAACAAATATTAGAGAATCTTTATCCTTTATATCTAGTTCTGGAGCTCGGCTCTAAGAATTCAAACAATATTGCAGGAACAGCCAGATGCGCCCAAGAAAGTTCCCCACTGACGTGAGACATATGTGGAATTCCACCTATTTAATGTTGAATGTTGTACTCCCGTATTCGGAGCTCATCACTGCGTATGTAAACAGTAAGAACGATCAACTTCTAATTTTAGATACAGATTGGCAGATTTGTGAGTATTTTTTAAAATTTTTAGAAGTTTTTTACAATGCTACTGAATTACTTTTTGGAGTTTATTATCCTACTGTACATTTAGCTTTACATCAACTATTTAATATTTCAGAAACATTTTCTTATTATAGGGATACAAAACTTTTTGGAGACATAGTTAAGTTAATGGAACTAAATTTAAAAGTTATTGGTCAGGTTGTCCTATGTTATATGCATTAGCAATTATTTTAGATCCTAGGTGTGGAGTAGATGGAACTGAATCATTAATGATTGCTACAACAGAAAATTTAGGAATTGATATGCAACTAACTATTACTAACGCTAAGAAAATGTTAGAAAATGTATTTAGTTTGTATGAAGTAAAATACAACACAAGTAAAAAAGAATAGGGAACTTCGACGTCAACTAGCTGTTCGGGCCCCAAAGGATCATCGTGGAGTTTCTTGAAGAAGAAAGAGAAAACGGCAAGATCGTCATCAACATAAGTGTCTACCGAACTAGTAAAATATTTTGAAGCAAATTTTGTAATCGATGACGACAAACTAGACATCTTACAGTTGTGGAAGAGCAAGATCGATCGTTTTCCAACACTGTTCGTAATAGCTCATGACATTCTTACAACTCCAGTGTCAACGGTAGCATCGACAAGCATTTAGTGTAAGCAACCAAATTCTTGACGAGAAGAGAAGCAGAATGCATCCATATATCTTGGAGGGGCTAATGTGCTTTTTAGACTGGGAAGATGCCAGAAGACGAAGACAACAAAACACGTATGATTCAATGCAAGACTATTTTTCTAACCTAGAAATAACAGAATCTTCTGAAAGTACTTAGGTTTGTAATTTACTATTCCTATTGCACTTTTTTTCCTTCACAAAGGTTTTGTCCCGATCTCCCCACGGATTTTACTTGGCAAAGTTTTTAACGAGCCAGTCATTTATGTGTACTTATTCGTATTATCTCAATTCAATAAAAACACATCTTTTAGGGGCATTTGATATATTTTCTTTTTTTTTAATTAAATTTTTTTAAAAAATTACAAGGGCCAGGGCCGGCCTGTGAAGGACCTGGGTCCAAGCCTGGCCTTGGCCCTTATGGACTAAGGCCGCGGGCCTAAGTTTTTCTCCTCAGGCCCGACCTTGCACTGTGCAGGCCGTGCCAGGCCCGCCACGGGCCTAGGGTTGAACGTGTCGTGCCGGCCCGGCACGGCACGTTTGATATTACTATTCTATAGTTTAAAATTTAATTTGAATTTTAACTATTTTAAATATTAAAACAAACTTCATAAATTTTTTCATTATGTAAAAAAAGATTTATAAAAATTTTTAACATATATTCAATCAATAATAGATGTATTATAATTAAAAGTTTAAATATAAATTAATTTTAAATTCAAATTAAATTTTAAACTATAAAACTATTAAAATACTTAAAATAATAAATTAAATGTCAATTTCTGCTAAAAAACCTAACAGATAATTTTTATTATTATTATTCAATTATTCAGGAAGAATAAATATTACATTTTAAAAATTAAAAAATAAAGTGTTATAATAAGTATAATTCATAAAGAATTTTTATAATTAATTCTTTTTATTTCTACTTATTGAAATTTTGTCAAACATTGATCTAAATATCATCTCGGGTGTCTTTGGAATATACACATGTCAGCGTATTGGTTGGTCTCGTCTATGGCCGATCTGCCTAGACACGTTTTCCTGCCTTCTCAGTACCGAAGTGTATGGGTCGGAGAGCCATCAACGTCTATTTTATCGGTTGAGTAAAGAATGGGTTAGAAAAATATGCCACAGATGACAGAACCTTCGTATAGTTATATTGAATATTCTACCTATTAGTGCAGTAAACAGTGGGATGGAAAAATAAGGAATAAAAATTTTCTCGGTATGGCCCTGAAATGAGCTCTCCACTTGGATGACTTTGACTAAATTTTGGACTACTTAATTGACTTCACCTGCTAATTAAGAACGAATAGCTGTAACGCGTATCTACTTATTGTTTGCGTCAACAATGGTGTGGAAAAAAAAAAAAGCAATTTACGTGAATGCCAGGAAAAGATCTCACTTTTAGACTTCAGTAATAAATTTTAAGACTTAAGATTTGTGCTACACACAAAAGGGAAAAAAAAAATATTTGCTCTAACAATTCACCTGAGGATACTCAATTAGATTTGTTCTTACAAATGTCATCAGTCATCTTGTAGATTTTTTTTTTTTTTTTTTTTTTAGCAACTTTGGTAGAGTATTTTTGATATTATACAATATTGTTTTTCCTTCTTGATAAAGATATTTTGTATACTTATTATAAAGTAATCCAGTGGGATATTTTGTATATCCTGCCAAATTACTTTTCTTTCTCAACAAAAGTAAGCATGTTGGAACCTAGTCGAGTGAAGTGTATTCTGACAGATTATTTCTTCTTGGACAGAGTTTTCTCCAAATACACACACATTGAGAGAGAGTGAGAGAGACATTTGAGAGATTCAAGTTGTAGCAAGAGCGCCATTCTATATGAAAATTGTAAGTAAATGGTTAAAGTTATCCTAGTTCTGAAAATGAAAATATGAATGACAGAACCCACAATATTCTCTGGTCTGCCAAAGTTCAGAGATCAGACAAAATTTTATCAGCCTCTAACATTACAGATGTCTTCAGGAGTCCAAGGGAAACATTCATGGACAACAAAAATAGCCAAACTAAAAATTACTGGACACCTGAACTTAAAAACCCTTCAGGATCAATATATATATATACATACACATATATATGTTCCTTTCAGGATCAAGGAGCTTCCTCTCTGCTGAATTCTATTTTGCTCCAGAGATGTTTACAAGTTTTGCGCTGCGAGAGTTTGGATCTACCTCTACTCTGAGACCGAGTTCAAAAATCTCAGGAGTAATAACAGATCCTTGAAGCTCCAGTTCAGCCACAACTCGTTGGTTCTCCTTATTGCCTTCTAACAAATTCCTTACAGACCAAATGCCCCACTCCCTCAAGAATGGATTGTCCTCATCGGTAACACACTGCTGTAAGAGCAAGAGAATTCCATTCTTCTGTCTTATCTCATCTTGTACCTGCTTTCTACCATATGAACAATTTCCAATCACGGCAACAATGTCCCTTCTGAATCCTTTGTAAGGGCAGGGATTTGCCAAGCATGAATTTCCCTCTTCGTTTTCCCCCCGTTTCATGGCCTTTCTGATTATCGCCGGAGGCTCAAGCTCTCGGAGCAAACTTAAAAGCAGTTCAACAAGTCCTGAGGATAGTAGCATACTGACAGCATCCACTGGTTTCTCCTCAGAGCCTCTTGGACCCTCTAGGGAACAGATATCTCTTAGAATTGTTAGTGAGTATCCAAGAACATCTATGGCAGTGGAGCCTGTTGGAAGTCCAGATTTGGTTTTTGTGTCTGAACAAATAACCCCGATAGACGACTTAAATATTCCAAGAACGCACGAAGCGAACTCATTTGGAACCGTGATCTCTTCAATTCGCTCATTCAATATATCTGAAACCATTCTCAAAACAAATGCTTGTTAGGATGAGAGCGCGATATCTCCAACCTCAACAGCTTCAGCTTTTGCAACGCCCAACTCAGAAAAAAGGGGAGCAAAGTAAGGTTGTTCTAAGCACACTCTTGAAAGAAGCAACTTCAACCAATCTTCTCCAAATCCAACTAGTAAAACACCCAATAAGGGAAATCACTAAATGGGCACACGACTAAAGCACAAAGTGTGATAATAACAAAATAAGTTTTCAAGAAAAATGGAGTGATTCTCACCTGCAGCAGTAGTTCTTATAATTTCCTTTGCAATGGGCAGCCCACAGCCACTGCAGATCTCAGTAAGCAGTCCAGGATTTCCATCACAGCAAGTAAATATGACCATGCACAATGGATCACAAGCCTCCCTACTCCGGAGTCTTGCAAGAGAAAGAAACTCTTGCGGGAAAAATTGACGCCACATTTCACGCTGATGCTCTTCACCAGCCAAGGAAACATTAGCAAGTACTTGCAATCCAATTCGGATGATACCATAATCTGCCCCGGAACAAAGTCTTGCTGACCTAAAAACATTCAAAACAGCTCCAACACCGTTTTGTTCAACAAATATATTCTGATTCGCAACCTCACCCGCACAAAGATTTCTTAGGAGCCTTAATGACAAAAGCAGTAATTGATGACCCAAAGGATAAGGAAGGGATCGAACCAGCTGAATGATCACGGGAAGAATACGCCTAGAAGCTAGGTCTGCACGACCATCTGCCGTTCTAGAAACTTCTATAAGCGACTCTAAGGACTTTTCCAAGGTGGGCGAGTTCGAAGCACTACATAATAAATGGATAACATCTTCTTCTACACACAACTCCAGCAATGATGTATCTTCCATGACTCTTAAGCTAAAAAACTAAAGAACTAAAAAACCAAACTGTTATCCAATAATTCTCCTTCCTTAAGTCCTCTATTTGGATAATCGGGTTTTTGATTCCAGAGCTAGAAAGACAAATACCCCGTGACACAATGTTGCAGCAAGTATTGTTATAAAGAATCAGTTTACTGTTTGTCTTCAATCAGAGGAATGCTTTGAGTGTTTGGCTACACGTACAAAAAATAGAATAAAATAAAATGTGTTCAGTAAATTAACATGTCTAATGAAATGCCAAAAGTGTGATTATGATTAATATCAGTTCCGAGGAGAAGAATAAACTCCAAAAAATCAATATAGAAAAGATCCAAAAACTGCAGGCATTAAGCAATTGCTTTAGCAATCAATGAGTTTTAGGACCAGAAAAATGGTAAGTTTAACAGTAAAATATCTTCTAGAAACTGCAGATATTCACACAAGCGAATTACTATAACAATAAACGGCCTTCTTCAAAAAAAATAAAAAATAAAAAAATAAATAATAATAATAATAATAAAAATAATCTTAAAATCGGGAGGAACAAATTTCCTCACCTTGAGAAGTGAAACGCTCGAGGCAGCCACTTCAACGTCAGAGATTGGTCTGCAAGATGATACGGAAAACAGATTTAGGATTTTTTTTTTTCCTTTGGGTTCATGAAATAGCTGCATCTTCTAGATGAGTTCAATGTACCAAGAAAGAAAGCAGCAAGGTCTCTCACCAGTATATAGTCCTCGCCGGCGTCAATCCCGTCACCGGTGATTCCGGATGGTGAACAAACTAAAAATCAATACCAGATAGGCAAAAAAATAATAAAAACCCAAAAAAAAAAAAACCATCTAAACATAGAACAAAATAAAATCCCAAAAAAAAAAAGGTGGCAGGTCGAGATTCGTTCGAACCTTCGGAGGAATTGCCCGCGGCAAGGATTGAGCGGAGAACGGAGACTTTGACGGAAGGCGCTTTGCGGGGCTTGCTGAGGGCGGAGGAGGTGCATGTGGACTTGAGGACGGAGCAGACGGCGGCGTAGGCGAGGGCTACGGCCAAAGCGGCGCCGTCGAAAGAGAGGAGCGTTACGGTCGAGCAACCAATCAGCTGGAGAAGATGGAATGGGAAAGCGGGAGACGGGGAGAGGGAGAGAGAGGAAGCGTAAAACAGTAGAGAAAGAGCAAAAAAAAAAAAAAAAAAGGGATAATTTACACCGGTAATCCCTAAACTTTTTAACACTTTAATCTTTTTTTTTTGTTAATTTTAGTAAAACTATTTTTAAACTCTCAACAAGTTGATAATTAAGTTCTTTTCGTCTCATTCTGTTAAGTATTTAACAGAATCATGCACGTGACCCAGCATGGGCTCTTTTTCTTTAATAAAAATACCAAAATGTAAAATAGCAGAAACCCAATTGATATATTTAAACAAAATTATAGAACAACTTGGACTTAAGAAAGATAGACGCTGAACCAACATTGGTTGATTTCATCTAAAGGGATTGCCCAAATTTAATTTGAGCAATAAAAAAAAAAAAATCAGATTCCCACACATTCAGAAAAATTCACACAAATAACATGCATTACGCAAAGCATCAGAGAAAGAATTATTAAGGACAAGGAAAAGAGAGACCATCATCCCTCTAAATCTCTAGCCAAAGAATGTTTCCAAATTTTACAATTAACCTCAATCACAAATGAACCCAGTCAATATGCACACAAAATCATAAAAATTCAATCAAGAAATGGGTGGTCATAGATCTATGAAGAGAATCACATAGTGCGAACCCTCCACCACTTTTAGAACCCCTTCCCCACCACCTCCCATGCACACCATGAACTCTCTCGTCCCTTGTCATCACGAGATTGAGCCGCCCATTTCCCCACCGTCACGAGATCGAAATTTCTTTCCTCGCAGTCGGGTGATCCAGACACCTCTTTTCCGGCCAATGAATGCAGTCTATTAAAAAATTTTAAAAAAAAATTTGACGGAAAGGATTTAATTACCAACATGTTGAGAGTTTAGAAATAATTTTGCCAAAATTAAAAAAAAAAAAAAAAAAAGAGGAATCAAAGTGTCACCTACGGACCACCTGTGCAAATTATTCAAAAAATATCAAACAAAAACATCAAAAATTTTCAACCAAAACAAAACGTTTTGATTGAAAATAGCAAAGGCTTTTTAGATTTTAGATTTTTATTTTAGTTATAAATAAATATAGATTATAGCTATAGATATAAGCTATTTGAACTCGATGTACTATACACGGGAAGAGTAATCTATGTATTAAATTTTAATTATCGTGTTATTATTAAAAACATATAACATTTGAATATAAAATTTGAAAAATGAATCAAAATGAAAAAAGTTAAAGTTTTAGAGCAATAAGCCAAAAAAGGAGGTAAAAAAAGGACTAAATAAATAAATAAATAAAATTTTAAGACAAAAGGAACTAAAATGCAAAAAATAAGTAAAAGTAATAATATGAGTTATAAAAAGATTAAAATGAAGAAATAAATTAATTCTAGAGTAGGAGGAGCAAAGGGAAAAAATAAAAACTTAGAAAAAAGTAAAAAAAAAGTTAAAAATGACTAAATAAAAAAATTAATAAAATTTTAGGGCAAAATAGATCAAACGGAAAAAAAAAAAAAAAAAAGAATAAAGATACTTGGTGCTTGTAGGATGATTGACTTGAGCTGACATTACGTAGTCTTTATGCCATGCCGAGGTTGATTAGGACGACTAGAATGTCGGTCAGGAGGAATGGAAGGTGTGATAAGGTCTGATGTGTTCAAAGTTGGAGTGGGTTCGGCTTGAGATGAAAATTGAGTGGGTTCAGCGGGAGTTGGTATGGTAATTGGTTCTGGTGTGGCAGCTGCGTGTGTTGTGGATATACTCTCATCATGTGAGTGGCGTGGCTCAGTTTGTTGGTAGGATGAACGGCAGTTGCATAATACAGAGAAACAAAAACTTTCAAGTGATTAAGTGATGGTGGGAGGCTGTATAACAACTCAAAAGGAGATTTATTGGACAACAATGGTGACGTAGTCAATTAATAAAGTAGACAGCAGTCAAAACACTCAGAAATTTAGTGGTAAGTGAGATTAAAAAAAGCAATGCACGTGCTATGTTGAGAATATTGTCGATGCTTTCATTCAACAACTCTATTTTACTGTAGAGTGTAATACACAAGTACGTTGATATTCAATACCATGAAACCAGAATAAATTTTTCATGGATAGGAATTCCGAACCATTATCTACTCTAACCGCCTTAACATGGGCATGGAATTGAGTAATAGCAAAATCAATAAAAGTTTTCAAAATGTTTTGTGTTTTAGATTTATGCTGGGTAAGAAATATCCATGTGCATCTTGTAAAATCATCCACAATAGTAAGAAAGAAACATGCCCCTAAATGTGTGGGAGCTTTATGTGGACCCATAATATCACAATGTAACAAATCAAATGGAGCATACAGAACTTAAAAAGGAAATGGAAGTCGTGTTTGTTTAGCCATGGGACAAACAGTACAATTATTATCATATGAGGTATTATTGGAAAATAGCAATGAAGAAATCAATTTAAGACGGGATGGTGATGGATGTCCAAGACGCATATGCCATAGATCTGGAGTGTGAGAAACTTGATGAGAAATAGGTATCCTTTGCAACGGAGACATGTAATAAAGACTATCGCATTGTTTACCCGAGCCAATCATCTTTCCCGTAGTCCTGCAAGACACAAAAAGTGGGAAACAAAATGACACTAGTTTAGAGCAGTGGTGATTTTGCTAACAGACATTTTAAGTGAAAAGAGGGGACATATAAAACATTGTCTAAGGTTATCTCTGAATTGAATGGTATAGTGCCTGTTGAAGTGATTGGGGCAGAAGATCCAGTGGGTATTGATGATGGTTCTGTTTGAGTGAGAAGTCTGAAGTCGGAAACTATGTGGTCAGTAGCTCCACTATCCAAAATATCCAAGGTCTAGTGAATACAGAATTGATTGAAGCAATGGAAAAAGTGAATAGATCTGCAGCATTTGCATAAGCATTGCTATTACCAGAATCATGGTTTGGAGTCATCATAGATACAGCATGAGCAAGCTGTTGAAGTTGTTATGCAGAAAGACCATGCAATGATTTCGAGGAGTTGTGATTATAGTAGCTGGTCTGTGGAATGTTGTGTGCAGACTCTTAACGAATTAGAGAAATGGGCTAAATTATCAAATGCAATGAAACTCAAAGGATGTAGTTGCAATAAAATTATTATTATACCATCTGAAAACTAATTCTTGTTAATTATTAGAGTTAATTTACTTCTTTTTTTCTTTTTTTCTTTTTTTTTGAACTTAAGGATCAAATTTCAAAGGAAAATATCTAACAAAAGCGCAATATCACCAAAAATTTAGGAGCATAAGTTTTGAAAACATATATTTTATAATAATATGTTGCGATGATACATACCGCTTAAATTGTGTTGATGATATGATCGTTTGTTTGCATCCTGGTTTTCAAAAGCATACCCCTTATGTGAGATAGTTCTGAAACAGCATTATCAATGCTCATTCTGTCTCCTGGTAATTCTGCAGAACATGCAACTCCTACCTCAATAACGGATATCAAGCATTTGCGAATCATTTGATTTTGAATTTGATTGTTATAGGAAAGACTGTTTTTGATCCTCTCATCTTCTGGTTCTAAGAGCCTTGGATCCAATATTTCTTCCAGATGTTCAGGCAAAGCCATCAAAGCAAAGTTATGCAAGTTCAAATCATCTTCAAACATTCCATCAGTAGATCTCTTGCCTGTAAACATCTCCAACAAAAGAATTCCATAGCTATATACATCGCCACTTGTCGACACTTCACTTCCTATGCCATACTCTGCACTCACATGGATAATATATATTTCTTAGGTTCAACTGAAGAAACCTACATATACATACAAACATACTTACATATATATATATATATATATATGTATAATATTCTTGCCTACTTGTGTTAAAATAAACTCATAACAGAACTAAAACGTAAAATTTTTTGTTTGACATGCCATATTTTAAATGATACATGTAGGAAGTAGTTATCTAATAATCAACATAAAATGAAAAGCATGTAACAAAAAAATTTCAGCTAATTCAATATTTACCTGGGGCTGCGTATCCAATGGAACCTCGTACATCTACGGAGCTGCTGTGATTTGAAGAAAATGGGTGTGAAGGATCAGAGATAAACCTCACCAATCCAAAATCTCCGACATGAGCAGTAAGGTCCTTGTCCAAGAGTACATTACTCGGTTTCAAGTCACAATGAACTATTGCCGTGTCGCAAAAATTATGTAGATAATCCAAAGCACTGGCCACATCAATGGCAACATTTACTCTTTGAATAAGGCTTAGATGTCTCTCCTCATCATGCAACCATTCTTCTAGACTTCCATTAACCATGTATTCATATACCAGAGCTTTAAAATCATTTCCTTGAAAGTCAGTACTTGAACACGCGGTTAAAACTTTGACAAGATTCCGATGTCTGATGTTCCTTAAAGCTTTACATTCAGCTATAAAGCTTTTTGATGCTCTTGAAGTTTGTAGGTTTAGTACTTTCACGGCAACAACTGTTTCATCTGGAGTTAGAATTCCCTTGTACACAGATCCAAAACTCCCAGCGCCAATTAAGTTTGCTGGAGAAAAATCATTGGTCGCTTTGACAAGATCACCATATGATAGCTGTAAGGATGACATTGTATTTGATTGTGCTGATGTTGACATAGTTTTCCGTTTCCTTGATAAATACAGAGATAGTAGTGTGAACATCAGAAAAATCAATCCAAGTCCGCAAGCAATAATGGAGATGATTAACTTTTGTGGAGGTGATCGTTTATGCTTCTTAGGTCCATCTGCGGGGCATCTCGGTAAGTGCAATTCAAGGACACCTCCACAAAGCCTATAATTCCCCATAGCGGAAAAACCACTTAAATTTTTGAATATTGATCCCTCGACAGGCACTTGGCCTTCTAGATTATTAAACGATAAATTCAATATCTTTAAGAATCTAAAGCCTCCAAAATATGTTGGAATCTCTCCAGACAAGTTGTTGCGAGAAAGGTCGATTTCATCCAGCCCTCTCAAATAACTTAAAGAGCGAGGAATGGTCCCTTGCAATGAGTTTCCCTGCAAATGTAGATTTCGCAATAGTGTGCATCCACCGATAGTTTCAGGAATTTTACCAACTAATTTATTTTCCGAAACATCGAAATAAACAATGTTTATCAGTTGGCCCATTTCCATGGGGATAGAACCAGTAAAATGGTTTGTACCCAGGTCTATGAAGATTAAGGATGATAAACTGATTAACTGTTTTGGAATGGGGCCACTTAGATTGTTTTTTGAGAGACGAAGATAAAGCAATTGCCTACATTGTCCAAGGCTTGACGGTATCATTCCATCTATGTTGTTAAGTGTGAGATCGAACGTGCTTAATGATGTTAAGTTTCCTAGAGAGGATGGGATATGACTGGAGAGCTTATTTCTTCCCAATGCAAGCGCATATAGCTTTTGCATTTTACCTATTGAGCTCGGTATAATGCCAGTCAATTCGTTGTTTTCCAAACCTAATCTCATTAAGTTGACGAGACGTAGTCCGATACCAGTTGGAATGCTTCCGCTTATTTGATTACTTCCGAATATCATGTCCCGGAGCCTTGTTGAGAAATTGCTTATAGATTCAGGCATCACTCCTCTCAAACTGTTATTTTCAATTCCAAGAACTTGTAAATCTGTGCAGTTTACAAGCGAAGAGAGAAACTTTAGGTCATCATCTTTACCATGGCCCAGATTATTATCACTAATTCCAAGTATTTGCAACTTCGGTAGGCTCGCGAGGCTAGGTACTTCTCCCGTGAAGAAATTACTTGAAATCTCAATAATTGTAACTTGTGACATATTTGAGATCGTAACAGGAATTGGTCCGATTAAATAGTTGGTAGCCAATGTAAGGACTTGGAGGTTTGGAAGATAGTTTCCAAAGTCACGAGAAAGAGTTCCTTGAAGTCGGTTTGCATGCAACATAAGCACTTGGATGTTTGGAATAGAGTTTCCAAGGTCAGAAGGAAGAGTTCCTTCAAGTTGGTTTGTTTGAAACATAATGATTTGGAGAGATGAGATATTATAAATTGAGGGAGGGATAGTACCCTTGAGGTTGTTTCTATAAAGCGCGAGACCTATTAAACTTTTCAATTGGCCAAAACTGTGTGGAATTTCGCCATGGAAGCTATTATCTCCGAGATGAATCTTCATGACAAGAGAGAGATTTCCAAGGGAAGCTGGTATTTCCCCAAATAATTTGTTGTCGTTCAAAAGAAGTACACGAAGCTTGGATAAAAAGCTTATATCTTGGGGAACTTTCGCAGTGAGGTTGTTGAAAGACAAGTCGAGGTATTCAAGATTGGAGCAATGAGATAGGTTGGTGGGGACCTTTCCACTGAAGGAGTTGTTACCAAGGGCCAAGGTTTTTAACCTGAATAAATTGGAAATTTCAGGAGGAATTTCACGGATGAAGCTATTGTTTTGGAGATTCAAGGTTCTAAGAAAACTCAAATTTCCAATGTGAGAAGAAAGTTGACCATTCAGTTGGCATGATTCAAGTACCAACGAAGTGACCCTCCTGTGCCGGCGACCACAGGTAACTCCTTGCCACTTACAAAAGTGTTGGGATGCATTCCAAGAACTCATAATGTTGAGGGGGTCCTCTATTTCTGACTTGAAAGCAACAAGTGAGAGTTTGTCCCTATCATCATCTCCTCCAGATATTGAGACGGACGAAATCAACAAGGCTTGTAAGAGTAGAAACCAATATATGCTTAAACTATTGCCTGCAGAGAACTCCATCATTGAGGATGGACATATATAAATGGGTGCTTGGAAACCAAACGGGATAAAATTAAATAACTCTTACTGCAAATTTGAAATAAAGATTCATAAATTACAAACGAGTAAGATCCATAACAAAAGCAATATATAATCTCTTCAAATATCATATAGCAATGATCATAAAACGTCTTATATCTATATATACTAATAGGATTATGTTAGTAATTAGTAATCAATATAATAAGTGGTTAGTGGTTTGTTATTAGAGTTAGTTTGTTATTTTTGTTAAGCTAGTTAGTAATATATATATATATATATATATAAAAGCAATAGAGAGAGACTAAGGGAGGCAGGCAGATTATTGAGTGTTATGGTTAGAGCTTGCTCTATTGGGAGAGAGATAGGCCTCTCCAAAGTCAATCAACTATTGTAGCCTTCTATTTTCTCTATCAATATCAATCTTATATGCTTCTCTATGTCTCTATTATTTCAATCATTTCTAGTGAGGTTCTTAACATCTACTTACTTCCAAGGATTAAAAAGAATTAACAAAAGCTCATCGAAAATGTTGTGATATATCTATGAGAATATTGGAAAAAATTTAAAAGCTACAGAAATTTACTTTAAAACACATTAGTTTATTTCCCTGATATTTTAAGATAGGATTATTATCACTAATGCCCCTAAACTTTAAGAAGATCATTATCAGTTTGTCCCATGAACTTTAAAAACTCTCATTTTGCCCTATGAACTTTGAATTGTTTCCACTTAACCCTTTTTATTGTAATTTCTGTTAAAAACAGATAGAAAAAAAGAGAATAACGCAGTCACATGGTCTCTCTATTTTGATTTATGTTAAAAAGAAACAGATAAAAACTATATGACCACACTTAATCCCCTCTTTTTTTATCTGATATTTACAGAAATTACAATAAAAATGGTTAAGTGAGAACAATTTAAAGTTCATAGGGTAAAGTGAGAGTTTTTAAAATTTAAAAAGCAAATTAAGAATGACCTCAAAGTTTATGGAGCACAAGTGAGAATAATCCTTTAAGATATGATAAACATTGACAAAGATATATAAGCAAACACATTTTATGTGAGAATTATATGCATATTTGATAGAAATCATAATATCAAAAGAAAGACTTATGATATTCAAACATATTTAGGATTGCATCTTAATTCAAGCAATAGTTTTGCCGCAACATGTTGTTTGAATAGTGTTAATGGATTTGTTGATAGCTTCCACCACTACAATTTTGGGATTACACGATTCATATTTAATGACAGTTTAGGGAGAAAATGTTGTCTAATGTATAAAAAAAAAAAAAAAAAAAAAGCGGTATGGACTAGTTTTTGTGTTTTGAAAATCCATAGGGACATCGTATGATTGTTTCGAGGAAATCATCTAACGTCCACTTTAGACGGTGGTTTCTAAAGGAAATCACCCCGCCACCTCCCGATGTTGTCCACTACCTCTTTGACGCCGTCCGTCCTATATCCGAAGGTAAATTTTGTTATAGTTTGGTTGACTTTTCGATGATTTTAATGTTAGGTTTTACTAGTTGAATTTCCTTGGGTTTTGATTTTGAAATGTTCTGTGCAATGGTGATAATTCTCTTTACACCCTCATTTTCACTCTCAACATGCCCCTTTTAACTACACACCCTATATAATTTTCTATTGAGTAAATTTTAAATTTTCTTTCTACACATCAATATTATTCTAAAATTACCCCTAACTATTTTCATAAAATTATTAAGAATAATTTTATTTACACCCTTTTTTTTTTCTCGCCGCCCACCTCTTTACTTTTTGACACCCCCTTCTAATTACACATTTCACATAAATTAAAATATTACTTTAATATTATCATTTATTTATTATTTTTAATTTTTTGTTGAAACTTTAAGCATGGAGCGGTTCTTTTTTATTTTTATTTTTAAGTTCAATAGGGAATTTCATCATCTGGGAATATAATTTAGAAAAATTTACTGTTACTTCTTTTTAGAAAAATAAAAGACATAAATAATTTGACAAACAGAAATCATGTTGCATATACTAGAACTAAACAGATTCGCTCCACTTTAAATTGTCTTGTAACAAATAAATTCTCTCACTTTCTAAGGAATATTACTCTTAATCGTTAGTCATTTTACGTATGCTATAGCGATGTGTTTGTGCGATAGAAGCAGTAGAGGTATTGGGTTTGATCGTAAGGGCAAAATAGTTGGGCATTGTTGGATTGATCTAAAAAAAAAAAAAAAAAAAAAAAAATTAAAAAAAAAAAAAAAAAAAAAAAAAATTGAAAAAAATAGAACATATCAACAAGTAATTTTTTGCAATAGTTATTAAAGGGTGAAAACTAGGGTTTTGCAATGGATTTTTGAAATAGAAACAGTTTATAATTTAAAACTATAATATGAGAGGTGTGTGGAGAGAAAAAAAGACTAATTATTAGTTTCCCTCTCATAATAAAATTTAATTATATAATTAAGTCTATTGTCTTTTTTAGTTATTTTATTTAAAGGTCTCTTTTTGTAATAAGAAAGTTTTAATTTGAAGGAGTGTGAAGAGTAAAAAAGGGGTGGACCACTCTTTGTGCAGTTTGATGTGTGATTGGGCTTTAAAGATTTTTATGAAATTGGTTGTTAGATTTGTTGTAAATTAACAATTGGTTGTTAGATTTGTTGTGAATTAATTGTTAGGTTTTGTGAAAATTATTTGTGTGGTCAAGATTTTGGATTTTCGAGAATTTGATTTTGAAAAGTGGCAGTGAAATTAAGATGGGGATTGGTTACTTTATAATTTTTTTTTTTTTAAGGGATATTGGTTACTTTAATTTGTTCTGATTGTACATTGACTGGGTACTGTAATTTTGGTTGGCTTGATTCGAGGGTTTAGCATTCTTTAGGCTAATTATAACATTATTAATGTTTGGTTTGATGAGACAACACTTGTTGTCTTTCACATTATAACTGTCTGAGTTTTTTTTTTTTTTTTTTTTCCAATTAATGATATTAGTCCAGCTTTACTTCAAATAATAACAATAATAATAACACCCTATTTCCAACTTTTAAAGTGAGGAATTTGAACGCAAATTTTCTAAATCACTTATCAAATACGGAAAGCTATGTAATTTTTACTTTTAAAACGTCGAACATCATTTCATAGAAGATACTTTTAAATAAAATATCTACTAGTTTTACCGTAAGTCCGATCCATTAGTGAAATCCACGTTGGCAATACTCGTTTCACCTTTTTACCTACAAAACAAGTCAAGTCATTTTTTGATGAGTTAGTATTTAGGGCTACTAAGATCAGTAATTAACTAGAGCGTCTATCTGTTAAAACTAACACAATTACACCGCATACATGAAGACCTAAGCACATTTAACAATCGTCACTATACAAATCGTAATTCAAGCATTTTTTTTTTTTTTTTCACAGCTTTACTTTTGGGCGTAGAGGGATATGTTTCCATCAACATTATACCTTAAACTTAACTCAATGGTTGCTCTAGGGTTGTTATGTTGTGACTCAAGTTCTGATTCTCTTAGAAAGTAAATTGCAATTCGGATACCATCTCAACTAACTATCTTACGTCTAATCATGCCATTATTAATATTGTTAGGTATTTTAGTGTCACCATATTGTTGGGGTCCGGTAGATTCAGAGGAATCGCTGGAGCCACGGCACTATAGGTGAAGATGAAGCCGAAGATGCCAAGAAGAAGCTTGAGGAGGTGGGCTTGTTTAGGTTTTGCTCTGTTTTTTGTTGAGTCTTAATCCCCCAACATCCAAGCTTATTTTCTTCTTAACGAGCTCACTGATCCTGATCTATTGGCCTTTATTGCACATCCTACCGATAGGTAAAAAGTACCGCCCCTATAAATTATTAGTGAACAAGGATTTATTTATTTATTTTTTGAATTGTGAACGAGGGTGTTTTTGAGACACAGAAGTATTGAGTTGTGGGACCCGCAATAAGTGATTTGTTTGTTGTAGTTAAGATGAAAGTCCAAAACGCAGTGTTAGGTTTGCTATAAAATTTTTTAGATAATTTTAACAAATACTCTTTTAAAAGTGAATTTTTATCATTTATTTTTAATTTATAACTTTTTAAATTAAATAATTACGCTAATAAAAATGCATTTATCAAGAGTACGGGGTAAAACTCATACACTCTTAAAAGTTTCTTTATTTTTTTAATAATTTAAAAGTGTTATTATTAAAAATAATTCATTTTATGATTCTACGGATATCTTAACTTTTTTATTACGGGCATTGAATCAGAAGTTGCTAAATAATTAGAATTTTAGTGTTACTTATAATATTGGAAAACAATTACGTAGATTTTAAAGGTGTTAGTTTAGGGGCGTTAAAAGCAGTTAATGGACTTCATCTTCAATATTTCCTTCTCAACATGTAAACTAATTTTCCATTTAAACACAATTGACAGCAAAATTCATCACCACATGCATTCTTTAACTCAGAACTCCATTGAATTATCATACTTTGAACAAGAGACTTACCTTTCTAAAACTTGATTCTGAGCTCGGAGAGCACCCTTGGACCTCTATGACTTCAAAGGATACTTGATTTCAAGGAGGAGAAAGAGTAATCTTGGGGAGCCAAAGGGGAAAAGAAAAAGAGTATAGGTTTGTTTTTTAGAAAGGGCAAGTTCGAAATGAGAGAAACTAGAGACAAGTTGGAAGTAAGCTATGGGATCAAGTTTTCATTATGGTGGAGCGTGACCACTGACCACACAAGTGTAAGCACCTTCTTGGAGGATCCTTTCGTTTTGCTTCTGGCCCCGCGTTCTAATTCTTCCCTCTTGCGCGTTTCCGCTTTGCATTCCTTAACAACGCCGTCGTTTTACTTCTTATCACAATTTCTCCCCACGTATACTTTTTCTTTTTTCTTTTTCTTTTTTTTTTTTGGCACCTTTTCAAATCTCATTATAGAACTATATTAGGGGAAAAAAAAAACCACAAATACAACTTAAAGATAGGAAAAAAATATTATTTATATCATTCCATTAATAAAAAGAAAATAAAATACTGCAATGATACTTAATTATTTAAAATAACATAAATTATGAACCTGCGCAAATATATGACAAATTATGTTTTTTTTTTTTTACCTTTTCAAGTATCATATAGAGCTATATTAGGGAAAAAAAAATAAAAAATGCTACTCAAAAAAAATATTTTTTATGTCACTCTACTTAAAAAGAAACAATTGTGATTTAATAAATAATAAAAAAAACAAAATATCGCAATGACTTATTTACATAAATTATAAATCCACACAAAATCATCACAAATCAAGTACTTTTCTCATTATACTACATGTGAGCACCATATCTCAAACCTAAAACACTACTCGTAGTACAAACTAGCATTTATTGCTTCGGAGCCTGCACAAGTGGCGTACTCTTCTTTTTTTCCTGGCACCTTCCCATTTTGAATGGTAAGGTCCCTACACTGTCATAAACGATATTGCAAATTTACATGTTATGCTTCATGCGGGTTAGTTTATTTTCTTTTTATGCTTTGTTATTTTTAGTGTGTTGTTTTTGCTGTTTTGTTGTTAGGGAGACTTTCTTTTTGTCAATTTTTGTGGTGTGAATGGTGTAGGGTCTTCAATGATGAGGTAGGCTAAGTTAAGGCATGTTTTTGTGATTGATTGACTTGATTTGGGTGTGAGTGAAAAGCCATTGAACCTGATTTTTGAATGCTAACTCTTTATGTTTATCTTTCCACAACATTTGTAGTGTTACTTCCCGAGAGCTTAGTGATGGCTAGATTGCTATGAGAGCTTAGGTTTCTAAAATTGACCTAGAGACTCTTTTGAGGCAAAATTCTAGGAAACCTAGTATGAGGAGGACGACCGAGATAAATTTGATTGATGACACTATTTTATTGTATGCCTGTAAAAAAATAATTTACTTCGTTGTCTTGGTGTGCTTAGTAACCAAGAGTGAGCATGAGCCGCATGTTCACTTTTGCGTCAAATGGTAAATTGAGACAAGAATATGCAAAGCACTTTGAATTGTGACTTTATTGAGTAACCGGGTGTCTTCATCACAAATGCTGTCATTCACGTAAAAAGGCAATTGTGGCATTTCAAAGCAAAAAGAAGAAGATGAATAAGAATAACAATCTAAAAAAAAGGGAACTAGGTGTCAATTGGAGAAGAAGTTGGGTCGTAAGTCTGATTCCAATTGCTAGGTGATTCTACATTAGTGGAGAAGGAGTTGATAAGTCAATATATGGAGACATTACTAAGCTTGATGATCGTGGTCTAGTTTGAAGTGGGTGATCGAGGAGGAAGCGCTAATGATGCACACACACACACACACCAGGGAAGAGCATTCGAACTGAAAGGGGAAATAAGTTGATCGTATACTCTAAAGAGAGTTGGTGTGGAGCTTAAGCATGTAGGAGAAAATGTTAAAAAAAATAAAAAGAAAAAGCCTCTGAGAAAATGTTATTTTAGGCATTTCTAAGCTTATAGTTGGCTAATCTAAAGGCTTAGTTGTTTGTTTGTATGTTTTATTTGTTCAACTTTTGGTTCTTGTGATGCACTCTGCTAAGATTTGTTTGTGTACTATTTTTGTGGTGTTTATGAAGAAAATTGAACTAACAAGGGTTGATTTGTGTCTAAGGTGCGTTGGTGTGAACTGCAGAAATTGTGAAGAAAAATACCACCTTTCCATCAGGAAGAAAGATTTTCACACATCGGGAGAACTTTTGCTTCTTTTGCCTTTTCCTCGAAGCCATGCACCAGTCTTGGTCATCGAGGTCTTTGATATCTGGCCATGAAGAAAAAAGAGTACTAAACGGATTGGAGATTTTGCGTTCTGCCGCTGAAGTTATCGTATAAAACTTAGCATTAACAAGATGAACTTTTGTCTGATCAAAAGAGTTTGATTGGAGGGAATGCGTACGACCTTAGAGCCAATCCCTCTCTTTAAATCAAGTTGCACATAACCCGTCGATATTTCTGGTCCATTACCAAACCCGGCGATCAAGGTTTTCTTTTTAGTGATCCGGCCCGGAGGCACTCCCGCAGTGGTGAGAATGAACGAAGGGATGATGTTGATGGAGGATCCGACATCGACTAAGACCCTTCTAACATGGACATTATTGACAGTGGCTTTAAGGTAGAGTGGACGTTTATGATCAAAGTATGGCGCCTCCATATCTCCATCGGTGGAGTAGTGGAGTTGGTACTATCGAGAAAGGCGGGTGTTGCAAGAGCCTTATTAGCATAACATTAGGGTCCTTGGTCAGCCAAGCTTGAGTACCGAAACTAAGCTGGTCGAACAATGACTTAAACTTCAGGCTACAATGGAGCATTCTCACAACAGAAGCGGGTGGAACATGAACAATTTCTCGATCGGAGCCTTCGGTATGAATGGCCATCGCGATAGATTCATAATCAGGGCTGCTAGATTCGGAGGATTAACTCGGCTCTGGAGCAATGTTGGCTGGTTGAACATCAGATGTTCCGGGAAGGTATCCTGGAGTCAGAATCACGGCGAAGACCTCGTTGGTCTCAAAGAAGCCTTTCTTGAATGGATCTCTAGTAAAGTAACAATGAGGAACCTCGCACGGGTAAGATTCTTCAACAATCATCACTTTTGGAGACCTAACTCCAGAGCTGAAATTTCTAGATGAAAATTATCCAGGACTGATATGTCGGGCAGCACTGATTTAGAAGAAATCACATCATCAGGTGTCGGCTCTGAAGAGGAGTCAGTCACTATCACTTCAGGCTCTTCATATGTTAAACGCCGCCTCGTGGCGAGTCTTCCTTTGTTGGCGACCAACTCCCTCCGAAGTATATCTACAGATGGTTCACTCGGTGGCCCGAGAACTCTCCTTGCGAGTTAGTTAAAGGCCATTTCAAACTCTTCTTTAGATTCATGCTTTCTTTTGGTCAGAGGAGTTTTGTCAGAAAGCTCTCCTTCCTTTAAGTCATTACCCCATTTGTTAGAAATTGCTATTATCATTCCAAAATGAGGCGGTGCAGAGTAAAGCCTCATCATTCTTGCAATTTACGAAATACTTCTAAATAGCTTATTGAGGCTTCGGATCAGTTGCCCAAGCACGGATTTCATCATCAGAGTTGTCTTCCTCCATTTCATCAGAGTGATTGGTCACCACAGAGCAGGTTTTCTTCCCTTTATGACGAGAGAGAGGATTTGTATTGATGCCTTGACTCTTTCCATAAAGCTCAAGAGTTCCATCCTTAATTTTAGCATGGAGGATTCTCTAAATAGCGTTGCACATAGAAGTCAGATGATTCACATTTCGATGGTAAAGACAATATCTCGCGTGCTTTTTATTAGCCTCGGAGGGCGAACGTCGAGGAATGAATGCTAAAATCACCTCGTCACGGAGCCATTGCTCCAAGACAGCGTGGAGTTCTTCGTCAGAGCAACGCGGTAGAGGCAAGAGCTTCTTATCAGAGCGAGAAAGTCTGGAAGACTTCTCAAAGGCAGTAAGTATTTGTGGTGCAAAGGTCTTTTTCTCCCTCCAATTCCGGTGAGTTTCAGAGACTCTGACAGAGAGAGCGGTTCTCCTAGCATATTC